AAAAAAAAAAAAAAAAAAAAAAAAAAAAAAAAAAAATTCAATGCTGATTTTCCACAATGCAAACTTAACTATCAAGTTGTCTTAAGTTGAATATTGTCACTGGCAGATTACATAATAGAACACTAAAATGGTTAGGCTAAGGATTAAAGAAAAGAACAGTGATAAAGAAGGAATGTCTATGGGGCTAGAAGACAAAAAGATTAGGATTGTAGAAGAGAACACATGTAGAAAAGACAAGGTCAGTCTCTGTCTGAGATGAGGTTGACTAAAAGCAGAGATGGCTAAAACATTATTTAAAAGATTAAAGGAAAATCCTAGAGGAAATACTGACTGTACATAAAGAGCTGAAGCTCTACAGATCATGGATCACTTTATTTTTGCTCTGGGTCTCAAACAGAATGTAGCTGACTCTGAGACAGATGTGCTCCTCCTCCTACGGTCTATTGCTCTTGGCACCCCATTCCCTCCCTCCCATTTCCTTAGGGAGCTCTCTTCATTATCTCCTCTCGTATTTCCAGTCTCTTCGGGGAATTTTTCCCTTCTGTCCCTTAATGTCTAGGACCACCAATTCCAAACACAATAAAAGCTTCTCTTGACCCTTTATTCTACACCACCTCTCTCTTTCCCTCCAATGGCAAATTTCCCAGAAGATACTTATGTCTCTAACCAACTAATCATACATCCAATTTCAGTTCTCATCACTTCCCTTATGATTTTTGCCACTACCATTCTGCCAAAGCTGATTTTTTTCAAAGCTTTTAAAACTAAAGTGAGGAAATTGTCACAGGGCCCCTAGAAGACCATGGACATTCTAGTGCTCTAGGTTTCAACTATATCCAATCCACAGGAAGAAGAGATAACACTGGGAACAAGTTAGAGGTAGAACACAAAGACATCTCTGTGCCTGGGTTGATAGAAGGAAACAAAGAAGACCATAAACTTCAATAACCTGTTGTAGGGAGGTTGCCTGTATCCAGGAGCTGGGGATCAGAGGGAGAAAAGGTGGGGAATGAAACCACTGGTTTCCTGTCTTTGTATCTAAATCCAAGCTAGATGGGTCCACACAACAGGCAGCAGTAATCTTCCAAATGCATTTGGTATACACAATGGTCTTCTTTCAGAACCCATTCTCCCTGACTTCTCTGTACTCCACGTTGCTGGCTCTCCTGACTGAAAACCCCGTATTAATTTAACTCTTACAACTTTACATTTCCATGAATTTTTACTACTCCTTATATCTCTTATTTCTCCATCTACTTCTCTTCTTCCTTTGCTTACTCCTTAAGTGATAACCACTCCCCAAATGCCTGGCTTTCTGCCTTTCTTCTATTTTTCTCTTTCAGTACTCTCACTGCTTTCAACAGCACCCAAATCTCATTCCCATGAGTCCCAACCTCTGTCCTCAGCTTATACCTCTTCTCAGAGTTCTAAACCATTTTCCAACAGCTTTTAGACCAGTGGTCTAAAACTGGAGTATGCATACCCCTAGGTGTTCACAAAGACTTTCTAAGAGTATATGAGCAAAGATAAATTTAAAAGAATCCAGATCCTAAACTTTCACATGTAGTTTTTCCTAAGACTGATCTGAGAATGCTCCACAGTCAAGACATCCTGCTGGTTTCTGCTTTCCCAGTTTTTCCTTTTGTCCTCTCACTTTCTAAAAACAAATAAACCCTGCCCCTCACCCATTCTGAATTTTACCAGCATGCATTGTTCCCGATGTGAAAAATTCCAGGACACTGGCTTCATGTGTCTAAGTGTTTTACTTATTTATGTTAAGGGTGAAGAGTAACATTAGGCACAAATTATTTTGGTCCTTATTGAGATGTTCTTATTGGAATGTTCTGATTTCAGATGTAGTGAGAGTAAGGTGGCAGGGGTGCTTATCATTTTCACTTTATGATGCTGCTGCTTTCATCCCTGACTACTGTCACAGAAGGTATTACTCTGAGAGCCTTATGAAACTATTGTTAAACAATACTTCAAAACCATCTCTCTTATGATATCTTTTATATGTACAAAACACTCAAGAGTTCTTTTAGTGCTCAAAGTGGTAGAAGAATGTGTAGCAGACTGTGGCAAAAAAGGAGGTAGATAAAAGATACATACATCCGTGGACTATTTTGATCATCCTCAGTTAATTATTTACAATCACTGCTATAGCAAAAGAAACTAGAGTCCTGATAAAATTATGGCATGAAAAGAACTGCCTGGGAATACAAATAAGAAAATCTCTAAACTTATTTAAGCTGATTTGCACTTAAGCTGAGAATGTGCACGAGGTCTCCGTACTGATAAGAATGCTGTAATGACTGTGCACAAGAATGGCCTTACTGATTTTCCCCACACTTTATTTTTTTTATTTTTTTATTTTTTTCCTTTTTTTGTCTTTTTTCGTGACCGGCAACGGATTGCAACCCTCAGTGTTGCGCCCGTACCGGACCGGGACCGGCAACGGGATCACAACCCTCGGTGTTGCACCCGCACCTCGCTCAGCCAGTGAGCGGCCGGTCTGTATGCGGGATCCGAACCCTCGGCGGGAGCGCCGCCGCACTCCCAAGCGGCGCACTGTAGCAGTGCGCCACCGGGCCGGCCCTCCCCACACTTTAAACTACACTTTAATTTCAGAAAAGTGTTTTATTCATTAAAAAAAACCCTTTGGGTCAGAAGGAGACAAAAACAAGTGTTGGTGAGGGTAGGAGGAATTGGAACTCTCATACATGGCTGGTAAGAATGTAAAATGATGC